TCTTCATTAGTGAGGACATGGAAAATACACCACTCGAGTCCCGGATGTGATTTTGTATGAATTTTACCAGTGGTGTATATTCCAGTAAAACACTCGTGTCTATATAATAAATATATTTATTCAAAAGCCACTTAAAAAATCTTAAGGTATGTACAGCTTCCCTGTTTGGTTACATTAGAGATAGTAAACTGACAATCACGACGTCACAGCTTGCCAAAGTGACGGCTCACATTTCAAAATGTCCACCATTTTTGATTTGCCTACTTGAAATTTTCACATGATTCAGAAGAGCTCCGAAAATGATTTTAAAAAAGAAATCAGGAAAGCATAGAATTGCAAAGAATTTGAAATATTATCGTCTTAAAACCTAAATTCTTCCTGAAACCAAAAATATTACGCTTGAAACTTATCTAAATTCCGCTAAAAAAAAAAAAAAAAACCTTTGAAAACGGGATCGTCATTAACATATTAAGTCACATAACTAAACCATTGACACAATCAAAATTTCCTTGATAACGATTGACGACTTTACATGTAGTTTGAACTCTTTTCATGCAAGACAAGGCCGATTGAAATCACCCCCACTCCTCGTGCACCCAACACATCTACGGTAAAATATAAAATATAGAAACACATCAAAACCTCTATCCCCGAATATCTTATATATTAGCCATCTGGTTTTGGTATAAATTATACCAAGTTCTTCCGTGCCCAGGCAACTCAAGTGGATTGGCAAGTGATGGAAACTTATACGGATAGCTGCGTGAAGTATACAAATGTTTGCAATCGAGTTTTGAATCGAACATGGGCAAGTATGTTCATTTCGAACACTATAATAAACTTTGTATTATTTTTTCTTTTACTTTTGCTTTAGACCCGCTTTTTCATAAACGTCAATGGCGTTGAAACCACGCCAAGTACAAAAGTCACTAAATCTATCTCGAGTTAATGGTTCGGAAGACCAAGATAAAGTAGAATATTTGACCTTTTACACTGATATGACTCTAAATGACAGATTCAGTCAAACATAATGACTTATGGGATGGCTTATTTTTTCAGAAGATGTGTGCGAATTTACACCGAAAAGGACAGATTTAGCGTCCACTCAAACCGATGGTTCTATTCTGGACACAACATTGAGTTTGCTACTTCTTGCCGGTTCATAACCGGATGACTAGTTGCAACTTTTCTGCAAGAGTCATGGATTCTTTCACAGCCAATACAACGGAACGGGTAAACGTTATAGCGGGTACACATTGAATTTTGAGTCAAGTTGCACTTACGAGGAAAGCCTTTTAAAGACATCGCACGCAATCATACCTCTTGAAGTTTCAAATGGATTTCTCCAGAACTGCAGCTGAGGTCTAAGACTGCCTGGGACCAACGCGTTTTTCCTCCCGAATATCGCCGCTTTTAAAGGAATAATTTGTGTGGCAAACAACACAAAGAAAGTGAACGGAATTTTCATAGCCAAACGTCAATGTTGTTTCTAAATTTGTCAAATGGAGAGGCCTGCAACTGAATAATAGTGCAATATGATCAGTATACTTTGGTTTAATCAAAACTTCATTCACTCACCATTAATTATGGCAAATTGAGATTCATTTAATGATGAATATAACAAAAGATCACGAAACCGCTATAACGTAGTCATGAAGAGCTTTGTTTCTTAGCAGTCGTCTTGTGCTAAAGTATCTGTTTTCCTTTTACAGAAGTGAAATCGTTTCTGGCATTCTTTGTGATTTCACTTTAACGTAGATTATATTACGCAAAGTAATGGTAAAACCCAACATATTTTATTCTTTAGAAAACTACGGCGACTCTTAACAAAGTTTGTTATGGCAATAATTTGTCTCTTGCCACGGATTTGACAACTGTACAAGAGAAGAAACTAAAATGTTCTCAAAGGAATCGATCAAGATCAGACTTATTTCTACAAGAAAAATTATGATTTTTGGGGAGTTAAATAGTTTAAGCTAGTCGCGAGGGGCCTTAATTAACTCAGGCAATTCTAACCCGCCTTAAGAAAAAGAAATCAAGACCTTCTCAATGCACTCCTACCCAGGCCTCCTTTACGATCGTGGTTTGAATCCCAAAATTAGATCAATATGATCTTGAGCTACAAAAGAGTTTTGTAAACCTACCTATTTACAGCTAGATGCGAGAAAAGAATCCTAATTAGCAGCTTTGACTAAAGGAACTGCCGTTGTTGAAAAACATCGCAAAACTTTTGTCGATGACTGATCATGCGAGAAGTCTAAGGACTGCTCTTATTGGACCAAGCTCGAGCAATTTAAATTCCCTTTCTGTGAACACGTCAAAAGGGCACGCCTCTTGTCGTGGTGGCCTGTATGTTTGGTTGAAAGGAGGCGTGGTTAGAAAAGGTCGCGCTAATGGATGTTGGGCTCCAATCACCACAAGTAGTATCTAATATTTATTTTGTTCATGGGAGAAAATGCGATATCAAGCATCGTCTACTTTCTAAGAAGTGTACTATTTTGGCAAAACAATAAATTTATGTATTCTATTCTAGGGTTATTAACTTGAGACTTACGAACGCTGAGTAAATCTTAGTAAGTAGCTGTTACGGCACTTGACAGGTAACCTCGAAGAACTGAAGTGAAACTTAATTAGGTCTCCATGGACAACTGGTAACTCTCCAAAACCACTTCGGTTATTTGATAGCTATTATATGATATTTCCATTCAGCGATCACCTCAATTTTGTATCATCAGCGCAAACGTTTTGGGAAGTTGCTTCATGAAAGTTTTTGTTATAACTTGATCAAAACCTTCGTCGACAAAGAGAACGCATAACGTGACGTGCTTCAACACTGCATTACTCCTTAAAGGAACAAAACGCTTCGACCTCAGACATGCACCTGATAGGAACGTACCTCTCAAGACTGCAGTAAATCAACAAATGAATGAATTTTGTACACATTTGGTAGTTGATACACACAAATACTGATTTGACTGAGATAATGAAATCTCAAGACAAAAAAGAAAAGAAGGCTTAAAGCATCGCATCGCGTTAAAAAAAAATGTCGATAAATATATTCATGCCGGTCTTGTAGTGAGCAATAAAATATTCAAGACAATAGAGTGTTTGTGTTTAGTAGGCGGGTACGTACAACACAAAGCCACTGGAAACTTTGCCTGGGGAAACATTATGGCTTTTGGGGTAACAAAAGTTACTGTTTCTCTTGACGCCAGTTTCCTGGTTATTGGTAATAAGTGGCGCCCCATACCCATAAAAACCCATGAATTGCTATTCTTGTGGTCATCATGGCTAGCGCTATTGCTCGTGTGCGCGTAAGCACGTCGTCGACGAAAACGACGTTCCTCAACATGGCAGCCATACTCCAGCTAATAGGTCGACCGAGGCAAGCAGCCTTTGTTTACGGTGTACATCTTTGATATTGGACATCCATGTTATGATCAACTGACAGCTGTCAAAACAAGGTATCCGCTGACTAGAATCACGTGGCCATCTCGTGGGTTCGCGTGCTTTTTTGAAATTGACCGTTTGAGTGGATCGCATGCTCAGGCCAGGTTATTACTCTGAGGGAGAAGGAGGAGGTACGTAAAAAAGGCAAAATTTTGGCGCAAATTAACCTTGGCACGTTTTCTTCAGAATTTCCTAGCACAATATTCTCTTGAAAAGTCCCTAATAAATTGCGTACGTAATGTTTAAAATCTTGTAAGCTTTATTTTTTTCCTTTTTGTGGAGTTTTTAACTGAAAAAAAGTGAAACCACAAGCCGAACAATTGCATGCCCACAATCGATCAGGTTTTTATTTATGGTTAACTCATTGAAATCAGTAGGTTTGCTTTTAGGCTGGGCAAATCTACATATTTATCAGTTCCTTGGTGATGTCAGAGATATGCAACTGGTCGTTTCCAAATGACTTAAGCACCCTTACCAAACGCGCGCGAATTCCGGTTTGAATATCTGTACATTGAACAGGAACAGAAGACAGCCTCGCGATCTATATTCAAATTTTTGAAACGTTTTCGGTGATGTGGGTGGAGTTTAACTGAGAATTGTTGAGACTTCTTACGTGTCAGCTGAGTAATTTTGCGTTTCTAATTGATAATTAACTGAGTTCAGAGACCTATGAAATTTACTGATGGTTTAGAAATGGGGTGAATTAAATTTGAACCGATCATGATTGCTGAGAAATAGTGGAATAACAACAGAGATCACAGCACCACTGCTTCAGAGCCTATCACGGTTCTCATTCAACCAGTTTCAGTTTATAATTATTTTGCACACAATAAATTAAAATGATTTTACAAAATTCATGCCTGTCAGGCAAGGAAGCCGAGAGGGAAAAAAAGCTTAAGTAAAGGATTACCTCTAGAGATATCCAAGAAAAACTCAATTAAATTAAAATACTGTTATCTAAATAGATAGATCCATTTTTATTTTCTTGCACACAAAAATGATCATTATTTACTAACACAATAGATCATCAAAGCTTCACGTGCAAATGCGCAGAAGCGAAGGTGTTCTAAAAACAAACTGAAGAGAAAAAAGCACACACGAGCACACTAACAGGAAGTAAAATATACTCATAGATGTGAACACAGCAACATTGGATTCATTTCGAACTTCAGGGCGAAGACAATGAAAATCTAGAAAATGGAGAGAAAATTTCCTCACATTATTTGTCCCACAGTAGGCAAACCACAGGAATTCCACGCCATTGCACCTTTTGAATTTTTTTGTGACTTAACTAACCTCAAACTATCAAATTCGATTTTACAATTTGCTTTCTTACCATGATCTGCACTACCAGCTGCTTATGCTGTATTTTTGATAACTTTTAACAGATTATACTGATAAGACTTATTTCCCGTCCCCTACTTGCACTAGATGAATAGAACCTTACGAAAGGCTTTTGTTCAAAACATTGATAAGATATGAAAACGGTAAGTTGATTACTACACCATAAAGGCCTTATTCCCACGATAATCCCTCTTTAATTTTTTTTCTTTTAGACGTGGTACCCAGTTTTCCCACCGACAATGTCATCATGCGCTTTGCCTAGATATTTTAAGCAGGATGAAAATGCGTGTAAAGTCGCTTGGGCGATCCATATAAATGAAAAAAAAAAAAATGATATGCTCCACCAGATAAGCTATGTCTAGACCTTCCTGGGAATTCTGAAACCCACAGAGATCTAGAAATAACTTTAGAGAGGTTACCCTAGGATGAAGGCCTTTATCGGATATTATCCTTCATCCTTTTCTGGTAGTAACTTCTAATATTAACACAGTTATTATTAATAAATTAATTAATATTATTATTATCATTGTTATATGTCATTGTCATTACACAATTAGAGTAAGACGCAACTTGATCTTTCCATTGTTCTTGATTTTTGCAGTACCCTCAACTCTGAATGTGCCTGTTAAGGACGCCAGTGCTCCAGCTTCCTCTGTACAAAGACACCAAAGAGAACGGATAAACATTATATTCCACGAGTGCGCGTTCGATATAGGACGATAAAGACCCGAGAGGAGCAAAGCGCCGAGTTGGCTATAATTGCCTCATAAAACTGAATGGACGCAACGGTGACGTAGATGCTGGGAAAGGCTTATTCAAGTCACAAAAGATTGTCTTATATATGTCAACATTGTGTAACTGCGTTGGTAAACAGACTTTGAATAACCACTCTGTTGGGGGTATGAGGTCCAGAGAAAAGATTCTGTCACAGTTGACTTTTAGAGTCATTATTTTCATTTCTCAATTGTGATTTTTCCTCCGAAAATATTACAGTTTAATTTCATAGGAGTAATTCAATATTACGCAAAGTTAGCTCGTGTGAATCATTATTCAGTGGAAAACTCAAGGGTTTAGTCATAGAGCACTTTGTTCTATTCCCATTTGTGAGCCTGGGGAGCCGTGAGGAGAGTGCTCTATTTGCCCCTCCCCCCTGTATCTCCAAAAATATTCCGTCTGAAGCCATTAGAACCTAGGGTGTGTAAGGCTTCCCTGTTTGATTACATTAGGGATAGTCGCCTGTCAGACATGACGTCAAAGTAAGTCAAAGTGTCAATGTCTGCCAATTTGGATCCGCCTTCTTAAAATTTTAGGATAACTCAGGACAGCTCAGAAATTATTTTAAAAAAAAGGAAATCAAGAAAAAAAAATACGAACACAAGAAATGTATAGAATTTGAAATATAATCGTCGTAACCCCTAAATTCGCCCGAAAACCAAAAACGTTAGGCTTGAAACTAAGCAATTGACATACGTGCACCCAATTTTTCTCGATGTTTAGGAAACGACACGAAAAAATGATCATAAGTATAGTTTGAACGCTGTTTAAGCAAGACAAGATGGACTGAAATCACCGCTGCCCCGTTCCCTCTGTCCAAAAAGGGTTAAAATACCAAATATAGAAAGAAATAAAAAAACTTAAATATTCATATTTCTTGAAAACTCGTTCCTTGAATATCCTATATTTCAACCATAAGGTTTTGGCATAAAGTGTAGCAAATTCTCTTGTGTACAAGGGAGATATTTTGCCCTGGCAGTTTTTAAACGTTATAACGGACGACTGTTTGATATATATAAATGCTTGAAAAGAGTTTTGAATCAAACATGGGCGAGTATGTTCACTTCGAACACTGTGATACACTTTTT